GACATATTTATTACACAGGTGTTTAATGTGACTTTTATAGTTTTATTATGTATCCTAAACGTAGACGTAATATTAAACTTGATACCATTTTGTTTTGCACAAACGGTATAATTTAGAACCAAACTTATATCTACTTTGAAAGTAAAACACAAAGTTAAAATTAAGATACATGGTGTATCTTAAACCTCATGCTACAAACTGCTTTCAACAATTATTTTACTCAAACATTTAAACATAACATAACATCACGCCTTTTTATCCCCGAAGACCTAGGCGAGGTGCACATTTCAGCACTCAATGCCACTGTACAATGTAACACCCACTTTTCACTATTTATGTTATGAGTCCTATGTAATAGGGGGTGAGCCTTTTAACATATACCGGGCACATTTTAAGACTCCATGCTAATACTGAGATTTTTAAAAACTCAGTAATACTTTAGGTTTCCCCGACCCGGGAATCGAACCCGAGACCCCTTGCCTGGCAGTCGCACTTGCGACCACTCGGCTAACGAAGTAGTCAGTGAAATATTTTAATTATATAATACCTAACTTTCGTGAGACATACTAAATTAATTACTATGTTCTTCTGCTTACTCACGTAATTATTTGACATAGAACTCGACTAGTTTTCAGCCATGCTAGAAGTTCATATTCATGAGGAGCATTCCGAACAGCATAATAAATAAATCAACTTAATCTTACTTCATACAAATTCACTGCAAAGCAGCAGAACTTCAGTATTCTAATCATGAATGCATTTATCAATTATCTCCAACACCGAGCTTCATAATCGCGAAGGCTAAAAGAAGATTGAAGTGGCATCATCCATTATTTAGTCGAATGTCTCGTCATAATTAGTTCAATTACTTAACTGGTTCAATTAAGAATTTCCATCCATCCAAAGAATGGCGGCAATCTCTTGCTGGCTGCTTTAGGGAGATAAATGTATGGAGTTAGCGTTTTCCTATTTTGTGTAATGTTATATTGTCATTGAGATTTATTTGTTGGTCTCTTGTGGTTAATAGGCTACGCTACAGCTGCGAGTGCTATGAGCAATAAATTGCCAAATGCTTAGCGCTTGACGTACAGTTTATTATAGTGTTGGTTTCTTAATTATTCCGTGACAAGATTGGTTTGATTTAAATTTATTATGTAGTAGCAATAAATAATTTTCGTCTTTTTTCTAGTTTCATTAAACAGCATCTTCCTTCATTTTATTGCTGCCATAGATTAAATTGACACCTAATGTTTTAATAATTTAAGAAGGTCAAATATATACCAGTAGATAATAACTGTCGTTCGCTTTGTATTTGTACCTAACTATAAAGATAAATGGGAATGTCTGTTTGTAATATTAAAATAAGCGCTTTTTACTGCATGTATATGTATACACATATGATACACATACCAAAGGGCCATTTTCGACAGTCTGTCTGTTTGTACTGGCTAATCTATGGAATGGCTGACCGATTTTGACGGGACTTTCAACAGTTAGCTGATGTACTAAGGTACTCCTTAGAGTATAGGCTATTTTTATTAACCGACTTCCCAAAAAGGAAGAGGTTATCAATTCGGTTGTATGTTGTTTTTGTGTGTATGTTACCCGATTACTCCGGCGTTTTATTGAAACAAAAAAAAAGTCATCTTAAAATTCATTGTACGCGAACGAAATCGTTGGCATAGCGATCTTTAGAATGACAGAAACAGACAATGTAAAACCTTAACCTAGCCTAAAGCAGTGATTAAAAATGGTATACAATGATAGTCTGTTCGCAATCACACTAAACTCCATAATATTGGCTAATCCTGTACCCAATAACTGTAACACATACAGTTATACGAGTACACTACACCTTAATTACATCTAAGCGTTCCCCGGTCCATACTGCATACCGTAGTGTTTTGGTTACCTCGAACAATAACCTTATCTCAGCAGGATTGTCGTATACGAGTATTTATTTGCAGTATCTTACGAAAATGGTACAGGGAGCTTCTTCAATCAGAACATTTTTGAATTTTTTAGAAATGAACACATTTTTATCCGATTTCAAAAAGAAAAAACGGAGGTTCTCAGTTTTACCTGTATATATGTATGTTTTTTTGTTTGTGCGCAATTATCTCGAGATTGGCTGAACCGATCCTAATTTACTTTTTTTTGAGGGTGATTTTCTCCCCCCCAAAAAAAGTAAATTAAGATCCAATCGAATGACTTCTCCCATCTGGGTGAGGCGGGAGGGAGTGTCAGATTTTTATTGACTAAAAACCACCCCGTTCCTACTCCTGCACTTCGAGCCGGAGCCCCGGTAACCCGTTACGTTCTCCGCGGCTCTGTATCGGCATTAGTCCTATTGGGCCCCATCTGTGGTGGTCTGATGGCTCTTTGAGGCGCGCGCGGTACGCGACGCGCCGCACCCTCAAATCTGGTTTTGATCGGGGGGCTACCCATACTTGCCGTCCGCAGGCCCGTGCTTACAGTGTCCGGAGATCATATTTTGATTTACATAGTAGGTTTTTTGTATAATTATTAATTAACCGACTTAAAAAAAGAGGGGTCAACCCCCTCTTTTCTGTCAGTTTTTTAAAATTATCTTAAGTGGACTCATGTAACAGTGTTGTTGATAAATCCACTCTAATTCCAGTCGGAGGTTGGGCAAAGGTTACAGTTAGTCCCCGACGCGGGAATCGAACCCCTTGCTTTTGCAATTTCGTTTGCGAAGTTTCGTCCATTAGATCAAAGAAGCAGTATAGTAACTATTCAATTTTAATATTAATTCAAAAGTCCCACCTGTGTAAATTGAGTTATATCAATTTCCTTGGGTTGTTATAATATTCGGATTTATATTAACATATCATGTTTATATAAACCAATACTAAACTAAATATAAAATCTAATAACTTGAATGTTTATCACTATCAAATCAAAATTTATTAGTTTCGTCTTAATGTCACATTAAGTAAATTACATTCAATAAACACATACTGAACCATCCAATATTCGCTAAGCTTTGGTTTTTGCGTTTTATACGCTGGCAAAATCCAATAAACATCGGCATTAATTAAGAGTATTAATTAAAAAGTAATTTGGTCTAACTTCTGATAAAATTCAAACATTTTAGTCTCAAAAGTTTGTGTAAAACAATTTTCGCGAGTGACGAAGTCGCTAATAATTTGGAGTGCTGCTTAGATACTTTGTCTTCAATTACATTGGGAGTACAACGAAGTTAGGAGTTTAATCAAGATAGAACATCGTACCGTATGCCGTGTCATGTAGTGATGGGAGAGTACCTAGAATACATTAATTTGTCACCACACATACTTTTCCCGCGAGTGGCCTAAGGGTGCCCACATCTGAATGCTCCGCGAATGTGCAGGTCGCGAAATGCTCACGAGCTGTAGACGTACCCTAAGAGTCGATAAAAACACTACACATTTTAAAGAGATAGCGCAGCAGCGCTCTCTGATGGACGTGAACCTTTTAACCCGTGGTATGCCCGAGATATACACGAGAAACAATGTGTTTTCTATTGTGACTCACATGCCGATAGATAAGAGGTTAAACCAAACTTATGTTTATGCTAAACTTCTTTCATGTAAAAGAGGTCCTATAGTAAAAAAGTCAATGATGAACTTCGTACCAATTACATAACGAAAACCCTAGAAGAAACATTGTCGAAAAATCTTATCCATACAACCTAAATGTTATCTAGAAAAGTTTTCCAATAAATGAATGACGTATAAAACGACAAATCTTGAGAAAATAAGATAAAATATTATTTGCTCTACGGGCACTTGGTCTCTGTGGATTTGGTTCGGATATATTGCCCTCCCATATACGGATCCGAAATTCGATAGTTACTATATATGTATATTCACCGTCGTCTTGACCAAACTGTACCGCTGTGACTTTTATATTAGTTCACCTACAAATTTTATGACTGTTTTTATAATACAAACCTGTACGTATAGACAGATTATGTACCTGTTTTCGGGTCAGAGTTACATGAAATAAAATATTTATATCGTGGCACCTGATTAGTTTTTATCAACATTTTTTATGATTTATGACCTCATTCTCATGCTAGGTTTACTAGTTTGTATTAGTAGCGGAAAACCTTGATTAGTCAGAAATATATGGCAGAGGTTAGTACTAACCATCTTTATAGCTATTGCTGTTCGTTTCACGTAGTTAGGTAATTAGGTACAGGTGTAAATAGGACGCTCCCGAGAAACGCCTACAGGTGATGATAAAAAACGACTTTAATTTTTACAACAGTAAGGAATTGTGTGTTTCTTTTATGTAATAATAGTTGTAATCAATTGCTCTATGCTGATGATGCACGAATAACAAGGAAACAAAAGCGATTAAAAATTGTAAAAACAATTTCTTTTTGTCAGCGTTTTGGAAGCGGTCCTTTTACACCTTATATATATTAATTTATTCTGCTATGGTTTCCACTAGGTGTTTATAACAGGAAAAATAACAAAAACCTATGTTACGTAACTAGGTATAAAAAACAGGAAAAAAAGAGAAAAACATTGGTTACTATTCAAAAGCAAATTTGATCTACAGATTATAGCCAAAACACTGATAAAAAATATTCCTCCTAATAAATAACAAATGAGACAATTAAATTACGATTGAGTGCTTAAATATTGGCAGTAATAAAAACATTTCGTGATAGATAGAAGACCGATGTAAAACAACGCTTGCGTTGTGTTTTGTCGCTATAAAATATGCTATAAAAAAGATAAGTCTAAATTTTAAAACTCGAACTAGCAACGAGCATTTACTGTAAAATAACCTAATAACAATAATTACACCTCAATGACATTCAATTAAGAATAACAAAATACTTTAAACATAAACAAAAAGATACAATAGACCTTTATCTAAACTAAAACATTTTAAAGTAAGAGACAAAATTAAGTTGATAACATTAGACCCATTTGTGAGACAATTCTCAGTTGCTACAATTATATCACGTTTCTGTACCTAACAATGTAACGCGACTGTAGCTGTAAGTGCTTGTTTACGCTGAAACGCGGGCGCGGGCGCGGGCGCGGGCGCGGGCGCGGGCGCGGGCGCGGGCGCGGGCGCGGGCGCGGGCGCGGGCGCGGGCGCGGGCGCGGGCGCGAGCTATCAAACATAGAATACAAATGTTCACGTAAAAAACGCAAGAGCGTTAAGTAACGGGTGACTTAGAAACTGGCGCGCGATTCGGTAGTACTAAATTTTAATGCATAAAGATATGTCGGCGCATTACTATGGTCATCGATCATAGAGGCGGTGACGCGCGGGACTGGGATATAAAAACTTATAGCCGCGCGAGCGCCGCGTTTCTTCTACACACTCGGTTCACCAACGCCATAGCTTTGGGTATTTTTTGTGTCGGCATTGATAAAACACCACCGGTTTTGATTGTGATTCGTGAAATAAACCTGTGTAATGTGCAGTCTTCTGTTTTACTCAAAACAACCCGACAGAGCCTCGACAGATGTATGCGTTCATGTCAAACTAGAACGGTACAATGCGCAAATCACTCGCGCTGAGAGAAACGATTAGAACTTATCGCTTGTCTCGCGCAAACGCTTGGTGTTCTAAATGTTCGCAATAGTTACCGCGCCCGCACCCGCACCCGCGCTCGCGCCCACCCGTTCATTGTGAACAAGCACTTAACACAATCATTCTCGCTACAAAGTTATCCACGTTGTGAAGGTGTTCTAGACAATATAACACGAAACAGCCTTCGTGCCGGTAACCTTAGGCTGCCTACAATTAACTTGATCAATATCGACTTTGCTAATCAAGTTCGTTGTGATAATCTAGATACAGAATTATATAGACACCAGAAACTACTGGAATACCTGAGTTTCCATAGATTTTGTCAAGAAAAAAATGGTTCTAGTGACTGTAGTGTACTGAAGATCAGTCTTCTACCACCATAGAACCACTTTCTTCATTCTTTAATTTTAGTCTTTCGTTGCATGACATTAAAGAACATAGCTTTGTAAATGATTTGAAACAGAGTACTTTCACAAAATTTTTGTAATCAAGCAAAGTTCAGTCGCGATTTTAATCAATATCTTGCATCTTTAAGTACGTATAAATTATGTAAATATAATCGTCTTATATGACAAAAAAGCTAAGTTTAAAGCACACTATAAGCCTTTAAAAATAGCAATCTAATCTTAACTTTAAACCTAGAACACAAACTAGCTAATTGAAACTATTTCCCGCCCTACATCCGAGCTTCCTTTTGATCTTTCGCCCGGTGAACTTAGCCACGGAACCAAAATGCTTTATGGACCGAACCGTACTAAGTCACGATCTAAAGTTTCCTAGGATATCGCGCTATTGGGCAAGACTATGCGTTAATCTTCCCAGTAGATGAAGATTCTGTTCACTGCTACATAAAACTTTAATTGTTTTAATGCGAAATGGGATAGAAGTTTTGTTGGGTTTCAATTTCAATTAAACGATCTACTGAAATAAACTCTTTCTCTTAATAAACTGCAATATTTGTGAAAATTATACTAATCGGATAATAAAGGAGAGAAAGTTACTACAGGTGTAAGTATCTACTGTAACTATAACAAACTTTGTTGTTCTTACTTAGGTAAACAAGACCTTATTTGTTTATTGTATTGTATAAAAGGTGCATTCAACTATATCTTGCTATACTATGTCAGATTATTTCAATCAGGGAGGTCACCGATCATAAAAAGACATTGCTTTTTTCCTGTTTACCTACATGCAGTAAAAACCCTGAGTACGTTAAGATGTCACCAGAGTTTTACTATCGTGAACAAAAAACGTTAAACTCGACATTTGGCAGAGATATAAAGCGATAGTTTTATCTTACACAAACACATTAACTTGACTCTTACCCTCCTTATCTAATGATGTTTACGCGTGGTGAAATGGAATGGTCCATATTAAATTTGCTTCATTCGCCGGTGTCATTTTACAGAGTCAAGATGAAGTATTTATTTCCACTGCTGTTATTATTTGTGCTTGAAATATGTGAGGGGAGAGTGGCGCAGCAGACAGAAACTATTGTTGTGCCTGAGAACAATGATGTGAAAGTATCGCCTTTGAAGTTTGAATGCAAGTTCCGGACATTACAGGGTGGTGATGCCTATCCTTCGGTGGTTGTGCGTTGGCATGGACAGATCCAGAGGATGACGTGGAATTCTACTGGTGAAGTGACCTATGAACAGAATTATGTTTATCCAGTTGCTTTCCATGTCTACCCGTCTTCTGATGGGCTTTCAGGAGGATCAAGTTCTGCTCCGACTGATCCATTCTTCGATGCGCCTGTGATTTCTGATGCTTACACCTTCGATGATATTGTAGCGTCATTCAAGAGCAACTGTGTCCGACCTTATTGAACAATGAATTTTGTGCAATAAATTATATCTGTTTGTTGTGACTGATTCTTTTCTGTTTTATTAAACCTTTCATTGATCAAGGTGAAAGTGGTTGCATTTATTTGTGGACGCATTTCGAGATGTTATTCATTGTTAGGCTCACCTCTATTGCATTGTGACTTATAACGTAAATGGTGAAAAGTGGGTTATCGTAAACCATCCTTCGTGGGTTTTGGGTGCGTAATATTATGTCATAATTATCTCGATTTTGCAAATTCGACAGTGTGGGGGGGAGGCGAGTGGACTGGTCGTAAGGTCATTGCCCCGCACTTATCAACCAGCTGATAGTGTCAACGAGGGACTAAATACAGACTTAATATAATTACTGCAACCGGCTGCCGTACAACGTTGTACCGCGGGTTCGATACCCGCACCAAGCAACTCTTAGTGTCAATTCACAAATTGTTGTTTCGAGTCTGTGTTTGATGTGTACGAAATCTTATGTTTCTAAGCGCAAGACACAGAACAAAATCCCACTGGGGGACTTTAAAAACAAAAAGGATACAGAAAGAAAAAAGAATTCACTACCCAAAAAATATTATAAATAAAATACGTCTATATACCGCTATTAATGCGTACAATGACATTCAGAAGTAAAAATAAAAACTAAAATGATATAATTTATTCTTTCGAAATTGTTAAACATTTCATGCGTTGAATACGTAAATTAATTTACTGAAACTGTAATATGTTTTAGTGTTAAATATTTCACCCAGTCACTCCTACGAAATGGAAATTAGACTTCTTATCTTGATTTTGACAACTTAATTAGTATTTTGAAAACACTTGACTACTGCAATTAGGAATGATGTGAAGATAAAGAATAATCAAATTACTATTTTACTGAAATATAATAACTTAATTTGGCTTTGAATGCTTCGTTGGCCGAGTGGTTGCAAGTGCTATTGGTGCGAAAAGGAATATAAATAACAGCTAGTTCATTAAATATCTACGCAACACGAATGCAATGGGCGCTAGTGTTGCAACTCAAGAGCACAAAACTTAACAATACCAATGTCGATCGATGGGAATTGTTTTCAAGAGTAAGCACTTTTTTTTTCTTTTTTTTTTGTAATCAATTTATTTTGGACGGGGTTTTTTCCTAGCTATCATCATCATCATCAACAGCCTATAAATGCCCACTGCTGAGCAAAGCCTCTTCTCACACGGAGAAGGTTAGAGCATTAATCACCACGCTTGCTCAATGCGAGTTGGCGATTTCAAACTTATTATTAGAAATTATAAGCCCAGGTTCCCTCACGATGTTTTTCTTTCACCGTTTGTCAGTGGTGTCTAATCTTAGAAAGTACATATAACTCGGAAAAAGTCACATTGGTACTTGCCGTTGGTAGGTTTCGAACCCGCACCCTCATGCATGAGAAGCAGGCGTCTTAAACCTCCGAGTCACCACGACAGCCTAGCTATAGGACATGACAAACCCATTGTATTCATCATTAGCATAACTACAACTCTAGTTAATAAAATTTATAAAAAATAAAAGGATAATAGGGCGACGTCAAGAACCAAGCTACTGTGGGAGCACTGAAAGTAAACTGCAAAACATTTTTGCTTTCTTTGACATTGGGGTTCATAAAATAGTTTGCGCGATACCTATATCAAATTTATTTAGTTTATGTGTCCCCGTCTAGTAAGCCCCTTGTTTTTTTATATAAGGACAGTTAGAAATAAAGGTATGTATAGTAGATCTATAGTCCAGCTGCTATTACTGATGATGATAGGTTTAATATAAGCTCCAACAGTTTGTCCAAATATACAAATAGTTCTCAATTCTGTATGAATTTTCATTGACACGAATTTTAAAAGTTCGATAGAACAGAGTATTTGCTCTTTGCCTACAATTGAATAACAGGGGTTTTGTAAATAGTTTTATACATGTGTTCTGGAAAACTATTGATGTACTTACTGTACTCGTAGTTATTGACTTTTTGTAAATCAATTTAAATGAATTAAATAACGGAAGCACATTTGTTTATTATCTAATGTATTAATGTACTTGTCGGATAGTTATAATCGAAAATTTGGTTACAACGGTAGTGGAATAATTCTAGGCCATGAGAGGTAATTCTAAACTTTGACTTCATTTTTTGTTTTTCATGCTTCTAAACTGCCACCTTTCAACCTGTGATGTGCTAATGATTAAACAAGATATATATTATGAATATTCAAAAGTCACCTAAATCCTACGAAAAACAATTGATTTATTAAATTCAAGATTTTATTTTCACAAATCACTCCCTAATTACCACGTCACCTAAGCGTTTAGTATTTAGTACATTCTTAGGGTTGTCACGTAAACAATTAACATAACATGGGACCCTTGTTTTAATCGTCGAGGGCACAATTATTGTGTCCTTAAGGCCGTATTGTCTGACATCAGAAACTTCTGTCATAAAGACCCTCCGTGATTCAGATCTTGGGCTTGGCGATTACAAGTTGTAGCTTGATGAATCTGTAAAGTTAGTATCGATATGATTTTGAAAGAGATTTTATGTTTCTGGTCTATTTTGATAGGATTGCTATCTAAATGGTTAACTGTTAGTTTTCGCATTCTTATACTTACTTTCAACGTTTCTGCTATGGTATTGTTATAAAGATGACTGCACGATTGGTGCTGTGGCTGGGAAACCGGCTGCCGTGCAACGTGTCGCAGGTTCGATTCCCGCACGGAACAACACTATGTGTAATCGAATTGGTCTGGGTGTCATGTGTATGTGAATTTGTATATTACACACCACACAGGAGAAAATCCTAATGTGGGGCCAACGTTTTTATAGAAAAAAAGACATTAAAACATGACGACCAACCTTCATGAATGAAGTGATATCGACAAGGTAAATAAGGATAATATAGGTATTACATATATATATTATTTCCATTTTTTATCAATTTCCTAAGCCCCTATGCTTGGTTGGTGCTTGTACTTGACTAACAAAGCGACTACTATCGAAGAGTTGAATAAGAAACATACGCCTGTCTGATTCTTAAGAATAATAACAGTAATATGAATCTGGGTGTCATTGTGTATGTGTACTTGTTGTGTGTATGTTTTTAAACGCACCCACAACACAGCAGAACATCCTAATGTGAGGCAACGTTTTTTTAAAAGAGAGAAAAGAGAATCACGACTCGAAACGAGGAAGAGGACTTCCTAGAAGTTTATCAATTTCCAATAGCATTTTGTATCGTCATATCTATTAAGTACCTAAAGGCAAGTACACAGAACAACGACAATAGATATTCCCATAGTACCTACGACAAACCAATCGTGTGTGAAAGATGATATGACTGAGAAGGCGGTGAACACAAAGATGACAGCCGATACTTGTAAAAAACAGATTCGTATGACAATTCAACATTATAAAGATAAAAGTAGGTATAAAATATCTTTTGTTGTTCCATTAGTTATGGATACGATTAGATACTGT